TTGGCCTGTGAAATGGCCCAGAGCCTTGGGTCCCTGCACCCAAGTTGGACACTAAGATAAAGATCCTGGTCTCGGATCAGCTCAGCTTCAGCCATTGCGCGCCTCTAGGGGAGTGAACCAGCAGATAAATCTCTCTGTCTCTCCTTCTCTCTAAATAGAATCTGCCTTTCAAACAAAAATAAATCTTTTTTTTTTTTTAAAGATTTATTTATTTTTATTACAAGGTCAGATATACAGAGAGGAGGAGAGACAGAGAGGAAGATCTTCCATCCGATGATTCACCCCCAAGTGAGCCGCAATGGCCGGTACTGCGCCGATCCCAAGCCAGGAACCAGGAACCTCTTCCAGGTCTCCCACACAGGTGCAGGGTCCCAAAGCTTTGGGCCGTCCTCAACTGCTTTCCCAGGCCACAAGCAGGGAGCTGGATGGGAAGTAGAGCTGCCGGGATTAGAACCAGCACCTATATGGGATCCCGGGGCGTTCAAGGTGAGGACTTTAGCCACTAGGCCATGCTGCCGGGCCCCAAAAATAAATCTTAAAAAAAAAAAGTAAATAAGCCCAGGAAAGTAGATGCTAAACCACCCAAAAACAAAAAGTAGCATACTGATCATACACAGATTGATGGAACAGAATAGAGAGCCAGAAATTGCTTCACACAAATGTAAGTAAGATATTGATTTATCTATTTATTTATTTGAAAAGCAATGAAAAAACATGAGTTCACAGACTCTTTTTATTTCTTGTTTGTTTTGCTTTTTTCTTCCAGTTCACAGACTCTTGACAAAGAACTAAAAGCAACTTGTTGGGAAAAAAAATATGTCACCAAACAGTGTTGGGACAATTAGAAGGCCTCATTATATATATGTACATATGCACATATATATATGGTCTTACATTGTTTATAAAAATGTAAGACTAAAAGAAGAAAACATAGGAGGAAATCTAGATGCCCTAGAATTTGATGATATATGTTCAACAATAAAAGCATGATCTAAGAAAGAAAAAGAATGCTGTGGCAGCCATTTGGCACAGCTAAGACACTGGTTAGAGCTTAGGTGGGGAACATTCCCCACCCCTGAGCTATAGGAGGGCTTTAAAACCACCCGCAAAGGAATTGCAGGGCTTGGAATTCAATATGCATGTATAGCAGGTTAATTTTAACATAATGATTTTGTATGCTGATATAAACAGCCTAATGGCCTTTGGCAGAAAAGTTTCTCCACCCCCTTGGAGAATGGACACTGCAGTATAGCATGTTAAGCCACCACTTGGGCTGCTTGCATCCCATATCAGAGTGCCTGTCTGCCGTGCACTTCTGATCCAGCCTCCTGCTAACATACCTGGAAGGCAGCTGAGGATGGTCCAAGCCCTTGGGTCCCTGCCACCCATGTGGGAGATCTAGATGGAGTTTCTGCCCCTGGCTTTACCCTGGCCAAGCCTCCTCTGTTGCAGACATTTGCAGAGTGAGCCAGCACAAGGAAGAACTCTCTCTCTCTGCCTTTCAAATGAGCTATCAAGTTATTAAAAGATGCAATGAAAACTGAATGGACATTTCTTACCAAAAAGAAAGTAATCTGAAAAGTCTACACACTGAATGATTCCAACCATATGGTATTCTATAAAAGGCAAAACTACAAAGACAGTAAGAGTGGTACATGGGTAGGACTGAATAACTGAAGTACAGAGGATTTTTTTTTTTAGCATGACAAGTCTATTCTTCACAATACTGTAATTATATATTATCCTAAATAAGTCTATAATATATCATATGCATTAGAGAATGGAATATCTATTGTGTCGAAAGAATATAATAACATAAACATAGGAAATAATTGTGAATTTGGTTACTTTCTGACCTAAGCAAATTTAGAACTGTGTAAGTCTCTAAGGCCACAGGCAGGGCCCAAAAGGGCCTTTTGTTATTCATACTGTCTTGGCTGTCCCCATTGACCTTATGCTAATCATGGGACCTGTATTTCTTGATCTTTAGGTTCTCCTTTTCTTTGTGATGCAAGATTAAGTTGTAGAATAAGAATTATAGCAGGAACTTCTAGAGTTTTTAGGTTAAACAAATAGCTGAATTATCCTTAGAAACACCCACCTGACCATGATGTAAAAAGTCTGAGCCAGAGTTTATTTCTGTATAAATAAAGCGGACAGCTTTCCCACATTGTCCATTATGATCATGAAATCCTAGTGGTCCATTTCTTTCCTCTTTACGCCTCATCCACGCACCCTTCTCGAGTTCTGGACTCAGCTGGAGCTGGACTCCAGCACCTGGTGCCCACATTTTGGTTGGCAAAACCACTCTCCAATAAAAAGAAATCACTGATCACAGGATGAGGGCAGCAGATCCACACACAAATTAAATAATAAAACTACCTATGATGGGGCCCGGCAGTGTGGCCTAGCGGCTAAAGTCCTTGCCTTGAACACACCAGATCCCTTATGGGTGCCGGTTCTAATCCCGGCAGCTTCACTTCCCGTCCAACTCCCTGCTTGTAGCCTGGGAAAGCAGTCGAGGATGGCCCAAAGCTTTGGGACCCTGTACCTGCGTGGGAGACCCGGAAGAAGTTCCTGGATCCTGGCTTCGGACTGGCATAGCATCTCCCACCGGCTTCTCTGGGATCGGTGGTGTTACTGCACTGGACGGCTTGCGGCGCCCATCTCCGCCACTCCGGATTCAGGGATCTGAACCCGACTCCCTTTCCATCAGCTGAGGGCAAAGGAGGCCATTGCCTGTCCCTTCGGAATGGCACTCGCCCATCTCTCAGGACCGACTGACCCACATCGGCCGTTGCTTCGGATTGGCATAGCATCGGCTGTTGTGGCTCACTTGGGGAGTGAATCATCCGACGGAAGATCTTCCTCTCTGTCTCTCCTCCTCTCTGTATATCTGACCTTCCAATAAATAAATACATCTTAAAAAAAATAGTACATTAGAAAAAAATCCTTTAAAAAAATACTTTGATGAGACTATGTCAAGGAGAGACAGGAGCCAGCTGAAAGAGCTCCCCCAAAGGTCAAAGTTACAACTGTTTGAGCAAAAAGTTTTTTTTTTTTTCTGCACATTTACAAAACCTCTTCACAAAACTATCAAGTTTAACTGTCCGGAGGAGCCTGAAGAAGGAAGACAATCAAGTGTAATGTGAGACCCGGGAACAGAAGAACTTGAAGCAAAAATAAAGCCAACCTCTGAAGCATGAGCTTTGGTTAATAATACATCAATATGGGCTCATTAATTACAACAACGTATCACAGTCATAAAGATCAGTAGTAGGGGAAATTGGATGTAGGGGCTCTAAGAACCATCACAGCAACTGGTCTAGTTTGAACAGCAGCTGGCTTCCCAGCTCCCGCCTTGAGGTCTGCGTCTACACTCCGTGGAGTGGAAGGTTGGTCTATGTATGGTATGCAAGGGGAGCTTTTGGAATTGAATTAGACTGAAGTGAGTGGTCAGAGTGGCGCTCTCATGGCGAATCATGGACCCTTTTATAAGGAATGTAAGCATAGGGAGACACCATCCCCTCTCTCTGTTCCCTCCTCACCATGTGGTGGTGCTTCCTTTGCTTGGGGTTCTGCCCTCATGGATTGCCAGGCAATAGGGTCACTGAATCTTGAACTGGAAACCTGCAAATCACCAGTCAAAACAAACCTTCCTTCAGAAGCAGCTTCTCGTGGGTATTTGTCATTAACTGGTAAAACAAGCACTGGCTGTAAGTGCACTCCTGTCCCCTGTTTCACCTCAGGTACAAGACTCAGACCTGGCTCCCCAGAATCTCCCAGAGAAGGGACTGGGGGAAGGGATACACAACAGTTAACCAAGAGCCAGCAAGTGTTTGAGGCAAAAAACTGAGGTGGGAGTGGCTGTATGTGGGGGCTCCAGGAAGATGGTCCCTGGGCCAAGAGGTGATTCTCAAGCTGGAGCAAGGCTGGCAGAGCTTTCCAGATGGTGGGAGCAGGATGCACCAGGCCCAGCTCTCAGCCTTCAGGAGAACTAACTAGTTATGGAGCACCTTGTCCAAGACAAACACCCCTTCTCAGAGATGTATGAAAGATACTGCTAAGGTCACTTTGCCAAGTGGCTCTGAGATGTTTAACCACTGGCCGGAGGTCGTCCAGCTGGTGAGCAAGGGAGATGCAAAGGGTGAGCCAAGCCCGGGGGCTGATACCTCCAGCGCCGCCTCTCCAGCCTTCAGCCCCCTCAAGCTCTGTCCACAGCTTCCCCAGTCTCTTTTCTCAAACGTCCTTCTGCGATTAAACATTACTACATTCCTGAGCAAGGACCAAGAGTCCGGAATTTTAACTGTGTGAAAAACCCAGGCCTCGCTAACAGAAGAAGCAAGATCCCTCGCTTCTTGGCTCTCCCTGGCTTCTCTCTCCTCCAAGCTGCTGGGGAAGATGAAAGGGGCTCAAGGACCCTGACCAAGCTCCGGCCACGTCCTCCAAAGGCCTCACCTGCTTCCTTCTTCGCGCGCCTGCCCGCGGCCAGACACACCCCAGCGGCGGTGCCCGAACCTACACACCTTTAACTCAGCCCTCATGAGATAAGCTCGGCCCGGCAGGTGCGCGCTACCTCCCCCGCGGTGGGGCCGCGGCTTCGGGGCGTGAGGGTCTCCCGGCTCTCCAGGGGCGCCCGAGCCCACCCCCGCTGGGAAGGGCAGCAGCTCCAAACCATCCCTTCCAGGCTCCGCCGCCTGCAGGACCAGCGGCCGGGCCCCCAGCCCCTCCGGGGCCCCAGCCCCTCGGTTCCCCCTCCGAGGACGCCCACCCGGGGCCGGAGGAGTTAAACCAACAGCCGCGGGCGGACCCGGGGGGCCGGTCGCCGGGAGCGCCTCCCATTGGCCGCTGGCCGCCGATTGGGCGCGGGGCCGCTGGCCGCCGATTGGGCGCGGCTCTCGGCAGCGGCCCTGCGAGGCGCCCATTGGCGCGGCGCGCCGGGGGCTGGAGTGTGGCGGCCCGGCCTCCGCAGGCTACCCCGGGTGAAGGTGCTCCCGGCTCCCGCAGCCGCCTTCCCCGATCCGGCGGCCCTCTCACTCTGTGCCGGGGACGCCGCCGGAGCTTCTCCCGAACTCCCCCCCCCCTTTTTTTTCTTGGGCTTGTTTTCTTGTTTGGCTGCCCCACCTTCTAGCGCCGCCTTACTCTATTCCCTCTCTACGCCTGGGGCCCCCAGGGGGTTGGCCTGCCATCCCCAAGCATCCCACCTGTCACCTCCCGGCGGCTTCTGCTCACTTAGCCTTCGGGGTGGTCGTGCACCCTGACCTAACTGTCTCGCCAGATTCTCCTAAACTGCTCTTTCTCTCCCTATTTTGGGCCAGCTGCTAACTGCTGAATTCCAACTAACCCTTGACATCTTGACATTTGACTCTATAGATTCTGGACTTTAAAAAATCCTATCTCTCGCAGCAGCCTGAGGTCTTCTCCACTGATTTTGCACCTGTCTTTCTGAGGCTACCTGCTACCCCATCCCATCCCTACCATGGACTTCTTGATGAGTGGGCTGGCAGGCTGCGGGGCCTGTGTGTTCACCAACCCCCTGGAGGTGGTGAAGACCAGGATGCAGCTGCAGGGAGAACTGCAGGCCCCCGGCTCCTACAAGCGGCACTACCGGAATGTCTTCCATGCCTTCTTCACCATCGGCAAGGTGGACGGCCTAGCGGCCCTGCAGAAGGGCCTGGCCCCCGCCCTCCTGTACCAGTTCCTGATGAATGGCATCCGGCTGGGAACCTACGGGGTGGTTGAAGCGAGGGGCTACCTGCACACAGCGGAAGGCAACCTCAGTCCTCCCCGCAGCCTGGTGGCTGGGGCCCTGGCTGGGGTCATGGGCGCCTATCTCGGGAGTCCCATCTACATGGTAAGAGAGGGCTCATGCACAAGGCCTTCAGATGTAAGCGGGGAAGCATGGGGCTGCCCACCTGTCAGCAGGAGAGGGCTGGCAGGCATTGTGCAGGGCTTCTGATCTGACCCAATGGACAAAATCGAATGTGTTGATGCAGGTGGTGGGCTTTGGGGTCATGCTTTCTGGAGCTCAGATCCTGGCCTTGTTGGCACATCTGTGCAGTGCGAGTGATGTGAGAATGCACTGTGAACAGGAATAAGTGCTGTGTGACTCCTGAGGATCTGAAGGGAGCCCATGGGAGTCATGCACAACCAGTGCTCCCACATCCCTGTGGCTTCTATAGTTTTATTACTATTGCTTGCTAAGGAGGTTGGATTTGTGGAGAGAGGAAGAGGAAGAGTTTGAGTAACATGCATCAGCCAGAGGAGGGGTCAGGGAGGTCTTGGGCATGGCCTGACTACAAGGCTCCTTTGAGTTCTCCGATTCAGGTGAAAGGCCAACAGCCTGGGACCCAGAGAGGGAGGGAGACCAGCTCAAGGTCACACAGCTGCTCAGTGCTCCTAAGAGCAAACCAACACTTCTGCAGGGGAAGGGACAGCTTGGTCTCCCTCCCACGGTGCAATTCAGGGACAGTGACCTCTCCAAAGTCAGCTGGTTACAGGACTTTCAGGTCTTAGGGAGGGGAGAGGTGGTGGCCAAAGTCCAGTGGGGAACCTGGTCAAGGTGGTGGCCAGAAATTGAGTCTGGGAATGGGGAGCTGGCAGGAAAGGTTGGGCACCTGGGTCTTGCCTCATGTCTTGGGAAATGCTGCCAGTCTCCAACCTCTGCAACCCCACCCCTGGCGCCAGGGAAGGGAGGATCCCAAGGGGGCGGGGAGTGTGACAGTGCTGGGAGATCTGTCCACTGGGACTGGAGACAAGGGACACAGAGTCTCATGTCCAATTTGTTAAGTGGGAATAATGATCATTTCTGATGAAAAGGGTGTTGTTAGTGAACAACCTTAGGGGAAGCTGGAGGGTGGTTCATGGCCCAAGTTATGGTCCTTTTTGGCCCCCAGGTGAAGACACATCTACAAGCACAGGCAGCCTCCGAGATTGCCGTAGGTCACCAGTACAAGCATCAGGTGAGGGATCCCCAATCCTGTTACTGGCCCAACCATCCTCTCCATTTCCCTCCAGATTTCCTCCTGTACCCTATAGCTCCAACCCCACCCACTGCTCTGCCTGTCAGCTGAGTCCCTTTCTACCCCTTGAGTCTGCCCAGACCCTCCTTCCAACATCTGCCCCACTTCCTCTAGCCTCCTGCACCTGCTTCTCCTGTCCCAATCTCTTGACCTGCTCATGTCCTCACTTCATCTTCTCGGGTAACATCAGCCCACATTGAAACTGGTTCTCTAGATGGCAGGTGTGTGTTAAGGACAGTGTTAGGAGGTGGCAGAACACCATCCCACCCCTCAATGGTCTTTCCCCCCTCAAACAGGGCATGTTTCAGGCACTAGCCGAGATTGGCCAGAAACATGGTCTAGTGGGGTTGTGGCGTGGGGCCTTGGGTGGCCTGCCCCGAGTCATCATCGGTTCCTCCACCCAGCTGTGCACCTTCTCATCCACCAAGGACCTCATGAGCCAGTGGGAGGTACTGCCTGGGGAAGGGCTGGGCTGCCCTGGGAATGGGGATAGAGGGAGGGGATGACATTAACAGTCAGATGTGAGAGAGCTGTAGGAGAGCTTAGGGGTGGGAGAAGTCTCTGAATAGACCCTTCCCATCCTTCTCTTGTTAACTTCCAGGGGTGGGGGGTGGGGGGTGGGGGATGCTCTGGGCTCCTCCTTCCTCCTCCACAGTGGGTTCTCCTTATTGGAGTGGAAACTCCCACTATTGGACTTAGCAAGGAGGCTCTTCCCCCACCCTGGCCCTGGACCTAAGGATTCAGTGTTTGGCTGACAGACCAAGCTCTCCCTCTTCCTCCTCCTCAGATCTTTCCTCCCCAGAGTTGGAAAGTGGCTCTGGCAGCTGCCATGGTGAGTGGCATCGCAGTAGTCCTGGCCATGACTCCCTTTGATGTAGCCTGCACAAGACTCTACAACCAGCCCACAGATGCCCAGGGCAAGGTAAAAAGACACAGGGGGCACAGCCATGCAGTGAAAGCTGGGCCTGGGAGCGGGAATGGGGAAGGGAAGAGAGGCTTGCAGCCTGCAATCCTATATGCTACCTGGTCTCCTCTCCTCTCCAGGGCCTCATGTACCGGGGGATTCTGGACGCTCTGCTGCAGACAGCTCGGACAGAGGGCCTTTTTGGCATGTACAAGGGTATAGGTGCCTCCTACTTCCGCATCGGACCCCATACCATCCTCTCCCTCTTCTTCTGGGACCAGCTGCGCTCCCTCTACCACAAGTACACTAAGTAATGGCCCTCTCTCACACTCCCCACATCAGCACTTACTTGGACACTTTTGCCTCTGTACCACAGCCTAGTAGACTGTGACCAGTGACCTTTCATCTGTCCACTGGGGAGCGGAGGGAAAGCCAGTCAGCCCCTCTCCCTATCTGTTCTCTCAGGGTTGAATCATCACAAGGGATGGTTGTCCTCCCCACTTTGTTTCTTCAGGACTCCCCTCCCCAGGTCCCCCTGAACACTGGGCACCCGTCTCAGGGCTGAAGTGTCCCCCCTCCTGTCCACTGCCACTCCCTCTGCACAGCTTTAAACTCCTCCCTCCACGACCAAAGGGAATTGGGTGTGGGGGATATCTGGGTGTCCTGTTAACTTCAGAACCACAGAGATTATATTGGTTATAAAGCAAGTTTATTTCTGCAGAGAGGAGGAGATGTCTTGTGTTTACGCACAGGGGAGCAAGATGAGGAAACCCAGATATTCAACCTCTTTTCTTTTTGATCTCGCTGAATGGAGTCCCCAAGTCCCCAGCAACCTCACACAAGTACTTCAATATCTTTACTGGGGCCCGAAGATGGTGGGATCATGAAGGTTCAGACTGGTTACCAGCTGTTCAAAGTCACCCAGGCTCCAGGGTGGAGGGGACACATTTCCAGGGCTAAGAGAGGACCTGTTGTCAGAACTTGGGGGTGGGGGAAGGAACAGACAGAGAACATCCTATGAGCCAGAGGCTTGCCAAAGTCCCATTTCCTATTCTCCCAGAAGACCCTCCTCTGGAAGCCCCTACCAACTGATCTCCCTGCTCAGGCCCTTCCCCAGTTTTTATTCTCCTGGGGTCACAAGTTGCCTGCCTCTTCCCTTCCTCCTTACGTGGGGGGCTGATTGAAGGTGAGCAACACATCAGTCTCATACTGGGGCAGCCGCAGCAAGGCCTGATGCACTGCCACATCCTTTGCTACCTAAAAGCAACAGGAGACAGGTTGCTTAGCCTGAATCTTTGTGGGCCCCCCCCACCTCACCTTTCCAGGTCCTCACCTGCTGGTTTTCCTTAGCCACCTGCTGCTTGCCTGAGAGCACCCAGGCTTCAGGACAGCAGCTCCGCAGGGCCAGGTTCTCAGAACCGAGGGACTGCACAGACTCCACCTGCTGGGACCTAGCCCCCTGCACCCCACCAACATCTTCGAAGTGGTACCTGAGGTGGGTGAGGCCGAGGGTCGGAGAGGAGCCTCTCTCATTGCCCTCACTTTTCTTACCGTCCCCACCCCCCCCAGCAGCATCTCACTTCCGGCGGTATGGCCTCGCCCTGGGGGTTCTCACTCCCTGGAGTAACCGTCCAGCCCCAGGGCCCCGTCCGCGTCCTGGGGCCCGGGCCTCCCATTGGCCGCCGGCCGCGCCTCTCACCGCGCAGCCGCCTCGCCGCACACGTGGGCCTGGAGCTCCAGAAGTTCTACGATGAGGCTCTGGTCGGTCACGGGATGGCAGAAGACTTCTTGGTTGTCCGGGACCGGTCGGAGGTCGCTGGAGAGGAGCGAAGCAGGCCCTGGGTGTATCCCAGCGTCTTCCCGCCACCCGCCTCGTCAACCTCCTGGGCCTCTCTCTCACCTCACGTCAATGGCCCCTGGAGGGAGGACGGCAGAGAAGGCGCCCCCGAACAACGGATAGTCTCTCGTGGGCTCCATGGGCCTGTGACTAGGGACCGGGCATTACAGGGGTTTACAAAGAACCCACATGGGGCCACGGCGGCTTCCAGCCCCTCAGGTCTCGCAGCCGCCGCGGCCACGCCCCCAGCCCCAGGTCTTGGTTTTAGTTCCGGGGCCCTTTAAGGCTTGGCCCCGCCCAGCGGCCCCGCCGGCCAATAGGCGTTGGCGCCTTGGAGGGGGCGGGGTCGCGGGCCGGGGTAAGAGCTGGACGGACCCTCTACTGGAGGATTTGTGACGCCCTGCAGCGGTCACCAGCCCGGGCCTGGCCTAGCGGCATCCTCCTTTTAAAGCAATCAGGTCTTGGTGTGTGTGAGGGGGAAAAGTAACCTGAAACCCCCGTAAGGGGCGGTTACTTGTTTAAGGGGCCTGTAATCTAGGGGGTTGGGGGAGTGAGTCTTGAAGGGCGCTGAGAGCGTGGGGTGTCCCCCACACCCCCAAGGCTGCCCACCTGAGCACTCACTCCCCGGATCCATTGACGGGGATTAAGGGGAACAATGGGTCCAGGTGCCTGCCTGAACGTGACACTCGGAGATTACAGAGCTAATCCTCCTCAAATCCACACTTTGCAAACACGCAGAGGGGGTGGGGTGGCCCCCCTCCGCCCCCACACACCTGGACAAGCACAAACTGAGCTCTTGTTCTTGTAGCTTTTAACGCAACTTTGTCTTCCCGGGTTTATTTCGCCATTCATGGTTGATCCCCTGCAGCTGGCCTAGTATTGAGAGCATAACAAGCCTATTGTTGGGAACAGAGCTAAACTTGCCAGTGCCAAGGAGCTGAGAACCAGGTCCTCCCCTCTGGGCTCCAAGTGCTGCCAGAACTTTGGACTCTAATGAAATGGGGTCAAGACACATGTAAAAAGGGAACATGTAAATCCGTGGGAAGTGGCATTTAAAAAGGATTCCAGGGGTTAAGCCGCCAGCTTGCAGTACCAGCATCCCATATGGGTTCCTGTTTGAGTGCTGGCTGCTCCACCTCCAATCCAGCTCCCTGCTAATGCACTTGGGAGCATCAGCAGAAAATGGCCCGCGTGATTAGGCTCCTGTGCCCCGCGTGGGAGACCCAGAAAAAGCTCCTGTTTTCCCCATTGGTGGCATTTGAGGAATGAACTAGCAGGTGGAAGATAACTCTTTCCCTCTCTGTGGGTTACTCTGCTTTACAAATACATAAGTGTTTTAAAATTGTTTGCAGAACAGTTTTTAAATCCATGCATTAGTGTTTTCATAATTCACATTTTCTTTTAAAAGATTTATTTATTTATTGGAAAGTCAGATATACAGAGAGGAGGAGAGACAGAGAGACAGAGATCTTCCATCCAATGATTCACTCCCCAAGTGAGCGCAATGGCCGGTGCTGTGCCGATCTGAAGCGAGGAGCCGGGAACCTCCCACGCAGGTGCAGGGTCCCAAGGCTTTGGGCTGTCCTTGACTGCTTTCCCAGGCCACAAGCAGAGAGCTGGATGGGAAGTGGGGCTGCTGGGATTAGAACCAATGCCCATATGGGATCTGGTGTGTTCAAGGCAAGGACTTTAGCCACTAGGCCACGCCGCTGGGCCCCACATTTATTTTTTAAGAATATTGGAAAACAAATTTACAGAGAGAAGGAATGACAGAAAGATTTTCTATCCACTGGTTCACTCTCCTAGTGGCTGCGGTGGCTGGAGCTGAGCTGATCTGAAGCCAGAAGCCAGGAGAGCTTCTTCCTGGTCTCCCACGTGAGGTGCAGGGTCCCAAGGTTTGGGTCACCCTCCACTGCTTTCCCAGGCCATGAACAGGGGAGCTAGATGGGAAGTGGAGCAGCCAGGATTAGAACCGGCACCCACACAGGATGCCAGTGCGTGAATTTGGAGGATTAACAGTTGAACCATTGCACTGGTTCCTGTTGAATCAGATTTTCCATGAGTTTTTTGGTGAGTTCTTTTACCTTGTCAGAACTGGGCACACAAAGGCAATGGGGACACAACTGTCACATATTCGTGGAAGTGTGGAGTGTGCCTCAGGTCCTAAAGGTAGACTTTGGTAGTTCCGCAGATGATGCTGACTGGGGGACACCAGAAACAAAGGTGTGGGGGCAAGAGACCCGTCCTAGAGAAGGCAAGTGTGTGCATGTTTGGGTGAGGACAAGTGGCAGGGAGTGGGCCCAGCCAGGGCTGGAAGGTTGTTGTAAGGTGTGTCCTGGAGCTAAGAAATCACTTATCTCTGTAAGGGTCAGACTTCTCTCTGAGCATCAATCTCTCAAGTCCAGAATGCTAGAAGGATTCAGTAACAGTGTAGTTGATTCTGAAGGTGTTTTTGAGCAAAGACAGAGTGTTAGCTTTGCCCCAGGAGGAATTCTACCAAGGAAGGGTATGCAGTGCAAACCCCAGAGGGAAAGCAGAAGCCCACCCCATGGAGCCTTACTCAGGGTGGGTGTGGGGGTTGGGTCAGAGGCAGTGCACTGTCCTGCCAGCCTGTGTCTGCCAGCCTCTCCTCCAGTCTCCCCTTCTCACCAAGGGCAGTCCAGCAGTTGGGGAATCCTTGGAAAAAGAGCTTCATTACACCGAAGTCAGCAAGGTCCTGGTCATGGGCCAGAAGCTCAGATCCAGGAGACTTGGCAGAAAACACTCCCAGCTGCCCCACTCGGGGTCTGTGGCCTGACATGTTTTGCTGTGAGCCTTGTGCAAACTGGGGATCTCTTGCCTTCCTCCCCCAGTTTTGTGAACTCATGGGGCACGGGTTGGACAGGCCTGCCTAGATTAAGTAGCAAGAGCACAGGCACAGTTGTCCTCTGGGAGAGTGGGGTACACAGGACTTGGCAAATCTCTGTTCTTGGCCCCACTTCCTTCATGTCATCACCTCTTTCTTGTGTCTGTCACCTCCGCTGACCTCCCCGCTGCTGGCTCCACGTTGTGTTCACATTCAGACTCCCCAAGAGACAGAGTCTAATTGAGTCCCTTAGTTGCCCTTAAGTCAGAAAGTAGGGATTTGGCAACACCCTCCTGCCTGCCACTTCCCAGGCCACCAGCCAGACAGGAATGAGCTCCCTGGTCCAGCTGGCTGTGGCTGAAATGATGGGTATCCTGAGACAGATCTCAGGAGACCAACCGAGATAGCTCGCAGCCACTGTTCTCAGGAGGTGGGAGGGCACATCCAGGTCTCTGCCCCTTGATATAAGCAGGCTTTACAACAGACTTATGTACGCAGTGCTCTGCACACAGCTGGTGACTTGAGGAACAGGTGTCCCAGAGCCCCTCATTTTGAAGGTTCCGCCACATGGGCTGAGACCAGAGGAAAGACTCAGTACCCAAAGTCAAGCATCCCCTTGGAAGAATTTTGGCAGCATGCCTGAGGATTCTTCCAAGAGTTCTTGGGAGGGTGAGCATTTGATGCAGGAGCTAAGATGCCACATGCCTGCATGTCGGGCCATATCAGAATGCTTGTGTTCAGTCCCACATTCACCTCTGTGTCCAGGTTCCTATAGTGCATATCCCTGACATACACTCTGATAATGCGGTCAGTGCTCAATCAAGTTCTTGTGTCCCAGCTGCCCTTGTGGGAGACCTGGATTGAGTTCTAGGCTGCCGGCTTCCACCTGGCCCATCCGCAGCTGTCGGGGGTATTTGGGGAGTGAACCAGCACATGAAGATTTGTCTGTCTCCTTCTCAGTTAATAGAAAATACATGATGTGAAAAAACCATGCATGGATTTCAATTTTTTTTTCACCAAAACCAGGTTAGCTTTTAATTCAATTTATGCATCCGGCTCCCTGCTTGTGCCTTGAGTCAGGAGCCAGGAACTTCATCCAGGATTCCCATGTGGATGGCAGGAACTCAAGTACATGAGCCATTACCTACTGCTTCTGAGGTGCAAGGAGTTGGGTCAGCAGTAGAATAGGACTGAAATTGCAATTACAGTATGGGAGACTGGCGCCCCAGATGGTAACTTAACCCCACTAAACAATGAAAAAGAGGGTCCTGCACAGTGGTCTAGCGGCTAAAGTCCTTGCCTTCAACGTGCCCTGGATCCCATATGGGCATTGGTTCTAATCCCAGCAGCTCCACTTCCCGTCCAGCTCTCTGCTTGTGGCCTGGGAAAGCAGTCGAGGACGGCCCATAGCTTTGGGACCCTGCACCTGCGTGAGATACCCAGAAGAGGTTCCTGGTTCCTGGCTTCGGATTGGCGCAGCACCGGCCGTTGCGGCTCACTTGGGGAGTGAATTATCGGATGGAAGATCTTCCCCTCTGTCTCTCCTCCTTTCTGTATATCTGACTTTGCAATAAAAAATAAATAAATCTTTAAAAAAAGAGAGATGCATTTATTTATGTGATGGGAAGAAAGAGTATCATTCTGTCTGCTGGTTCACTCCCTAAATGTCTTCAATGGGTGTGCCTGGTCCAGCTCCAAGTCAGAAGCCTGGAGTGCTATGTGGATGCCCAAGTAGGCCATCTTCCACTGCCTGCCTAGGAACATGAACAGGGAGCTGCATGGATGCAGATTAGCTAGTGCTGGACCTGGTGCCAAATGAAACCCAGCAAGGAAGTGTTCTGTGTGCCCAACCACGTGCTAAGCTGTATTAGGACAAGAGCCAAAAACTCATGGAACCCAATGTTTCTGGCCAAGTCTCGGGGTTGACTGGGGTCAGCCACGCAGCACTACCTTCACATGTGGTAAGAAAGTAGATATTAGGGTCCCCTACTCAGTCCTGGAGAGTCCCCCTGCGTTTAGAGGGTTTCCCGTGTCATGTGGCAATCTGTGTTACCCACAGATTTCTAAACCAAGCCCTCATAACAGAAAGACAGCTATATACCAATAAAGGCAGCCAGCTGAGGAAGACCAGGTGCCGGGTGTGATCCTACAGCTGTCACCTAGTCACTACCCTGGGACTTCCTAGCCCCCTAGCTCATCACTGTGCCCTAACTCCACCCTTCCCTCAATGGCTCCTAGCTCCTTCCTACCCCTGGGGATATTTACACATGCCACACCCACTGCACAGAACTTTTCCCCCCTTCTTCTCTGGGTAACTAGTCCTCAGAGCTGCAGAGAATATTTCTGAGTAAATTACTCCTCCCACAGGCCCCTTGGCTCCTGTGGCTACAGCAGGTGCATCCCTATGCTATAGTATTCTAAGCTCCAGCAGAGCAGAGTTGTACACCGCCTGACTCATATGGTATTCACTGAATCGGTGTTACTAAGCAACAGTGGTTATTTACCAGTGAAAACCCATTCCCAGATACTATGCAAATGAGAACCAGTACAGGCATCTGGACCCCTGATCCCCTGTCCCAGAAGGGAACTGTGAATCTTTCGGATTTGTCATTAGGGTGCCTCTTTGTTACTTATGGTTGGCCCTGGTGGTTTCTATCCTTCCTGGAGATGAATCAGGATGGCGGGGTGGGGAGTCCACCACATCAGAAGGACCAGTGGTGAAATCAGGGTGACTGAGCTTTTTATTCATTTCAACAGAGCTGGGCAGATGGAAGACCTCTCTGCCTCTCTTTCAGGGACGTAAGTTATCGCTTTACCCTCCACCCCTTACTCCCCAATGCCTCTGACTGGGCATCCATTCCCTTTTGGTATAGTGTCCTCCTGGGCCGTGCAGCAGGAACAATGGGGACCATGTGCCTAGACTGTGTCTCTATGAGAGGACCTGCTTTCTGGAGCTAGCACTGACCATGTTAGTGCTATGGGTTAGTCTCAGGTTCTAACACCACCTCATTCTGGCTGCACCACACACCTGTCACTCAACCAATGCCTTTCACAGAAGCTGGGAGAAGACAGTTTCAACACTGGCAAAAGCCAGTGTAGGAAAGTGGATAGCAATTCTTGTAGCCCCAAGTCTGAGAAAGGCAAAGAGGACTTCCACTACAGATGTTTGGAATCCTATGGAGCCCCCCTGGGGAGGAGGTGGCTCATTTTTAGGGTGGGGCTGCCCTTGTAGAAAGTGCCTTCCTTCTTGTGAATCCATGGATCCCAGCCTCCACAGCACATTGTTTTCTATTCCCACTACTCTGCCTGTGTGTAAGCGAGATGCTTGGGAGTGGGGAGGACTGCTTTGCAGGGAAAGGAGCCTGCCGCTGGGTAAAGATGGGGTCAACTGAGATGGGACTCCATGGGAGAGGAGAGCAGGCCCACTTATCTGGTCCTTTCTGTTGCCCTGGATACTCAGGGACATCCCAGGATACTCCAACAATGCAGGCGGCCCCCACCCCGACATGCCCCTTTGCAGCCAGGGTGGTCTGAAATGCCACAGATGTCTGCCCCTTGGGGTGGTTTCCCATTGCTTGTGGGAACAAGTCCAGCTGCAACGCTATTTCCACTGCCTATTCCAGACCTACTCACTTTGGTTCAGTTCATCTCACTGCCTCCCACCTCAGTGGCTCTGTTACTCATCGTTTCTGTCTCACCCTGGGCAGCATCCCCCTCTAAGGGCTCCTATAGCATTCTGCAAGTCCCCAACAAGGACCTGGATTGACATCACTTGCCTCAAGTTGGCCTCACCCACACCCCATTCACCAGCATGACATCTATACAGCTGACACCTGAATAGGGTTCTGGAGCCCAAGGCTGCTCCTCTAACCCCACTCCTTCCTGGGGAAGGAGGGCTCATGCCACAGAAACTCCTGCGTCCAGGAAAGCTTTCCTGAAGGTCAGCAGAACAAGACCTAACCCTACCACACGAGCAGATCCCTGCCAGCTGACTGTGGCCATGTGTTCAATGGCAGACCAAGGACTGCTTTGGTTTCTGCCATTCCAAGCAGGATGTGAATGCAGCAGGGGCTGGAGAAATCTGGGAAGCCAGACCCCTAACACTCTGCAGTCAGTTGCAAGGGGCCATCCCCCTCCTAGGATCACAACTGCCTAGTGTCCATCTCAAAAATCTCTTCTTATCCATGCCCTGGTTTGGGCCCAGCAACCCTGGTGCAGTCTGCAAGGAAGCCTGGCAGTAGGGGGCCCTGGCTAGGAGCCTACCTGGAGGTGACACCCCCCAGGTGGGCCCCTCTGAACTTTGTCACCTGCATTCCTCCCTCTGCCTAGCCCATCTGCTGCTGCCTAAACACTAAAGCTCCCTCCAGCAACCACACTGAAGGTGACTGTGATGCAAGCTCAGTCCTGTTTTTACTGTGGGCTGCCAGGCAGGTGCTAAAATAAGACTTACAGTGGGATAGCACTGTGACTGAATGGATAAAGCTGCCACCTGGAATGCTGGCATCCCATATGGCCATGGTCATGTTCTGGTTACTCCACTTCTGATCCAGTTCCCTACTAATGCTCTGGGAAAAGCAGATAGTATGACCCAAATGTTCTGGCCCCTGCCTCTCACCTAGTGGACCCAGATGAAGCTCCTGGCTTCAGCATGGCTTCCTAGTGGCTGCCGGAGCTATTTGGGGAGTGGCCCAGTAGAAAACCTGTCTCCCTCTCTGTAGCTTGGCCTTTCAAGTAAATTAAAAAATAAAACTTAAAACAATTTTGAACGACTGTGAATGATGTGAAAAGGAAATGCTCCATAAGGCTTGCAAAACCAAGCTACCACTGAACCCAGCCACTAGGTCACTACACCCATCACCTGCCACACCCCAGGGCCCAGCTTCCCCTCCCCCATCTAGGAGCTGTTGCCCTCAGAGACTCAAGATTACGATCTATTCTCAGGCAAACTCTTTTAATGAAGATGTTGAACCTTAAAATTAAAAATAAAAAAAAAAAAAGATTTTGAACCTTGAGGGTAAGCGGGGGACAACTAGCAAAACTGATCTCCTTATGTACTTCAGGGGGCAAAGGAGGCATGGGGTGATGCCACAGCTGTCAGAAAGGGATCTTCATGGTGCCATCGCCCAGGAAACAGGATGTTTGGAAGCAGATAGAACCTACGAAAGTTCATTCTCCAGGCTACACCTTAGAAACGGCATGACCCTAGGCAACTGGACTAACTCCAGTTCCTCCTGTGCTAAGGAAAGAGGCGATCAAATCCCTCTACTGACCTTTTTGAGAATTCACCGAAATACACCTAAAACGTACAGCACCTCACTGGCTCATGGTGCTATAGACAGCTGCCACAGCAAATTCCTTCAGACCCTAAGCTACCTGGGAAACGGTGTGGCTGTCTGGCACAGTGGCCTGGTAAGCGGACAGGAAAGAAGAGGTAGTACTCACAGACACTCAAGAGGCTCTGACCGGAGGATGAGGCTGCCACACCAAACACTTCTATGGAAGTGAGGGGACTGCAGTTAGGAGAAGCAACCATCGGGAATATCAAGCTCAGGGGTCAGCCCCAAGTCAGCCAGAAGCCCTGCTGCAGAAACTTGTGCAAAACTCTTCACACTTAGCACAGCTCAGCTCAGCATTTTCAGAGAACAGGGAGATTCTGCTTTCCAGACAGAAAACAAGGTTGAGGGGCACAGCTGCCCATGCTTCATTCTCCAATTTTCAGGGATGAGCAAACTGGGCATAAAATACAGCTCAGAACCCAAAGGATGAAAAACTGGGCATGACGTGGCAGGTATTAAAGGGGGATGAGGGGTGGCCCAGGGAACCCCACCCTGCATCCTGACTACCCTGGGCCGGACACACGAGGCCTGGATCTGAGTAAGATAAATCATATCAGAACATAAGAACCAGAAACAGAGGCAGCAGCTTAACACAGAAATGAGCAGGCTGTCATTACATTAGCTGGGTTGTGGCTGGCACTGTGGTCCTTGTCTGTTCAAAATTCTTCTGGAAATGATAAGGCGGTAGTGGCAGGGAGGGCAGGGGACTCTCAGGGTCTGGGGAGCCTCCCTCATCAGCAGCCTCCTTCCTGAGCCCAGGTTCGGGCATTGATAAACAGCTGCAGCCAGGGCGAGGTAGCCAGGGTGTCAAAGGGAGGGGGCCGCCATGCCCACTGCCATGGCCTCACGGCCCGCTCTGGATGAGGCATGAGCGCCAGGTGGCGGCCATCACGGGAGCAGACACCGGCTACGCCCCCCGGAGACCCATTGGGATTTAGAGGGTATTGCTCTGTTGGGTTCCCATGGTCGTCTGCCCAGTGCAGTGGGGCCAAGCCGCGGGCCTCAATCTGGGATTGGAGTTCAGGAGAAGAAAATGCCATGTAACCTAGAGGGAAGGAGACAAACAGTTGAGTTTCTTCATGTCCTCATTCAGCCCTAGCCCTCAGACCTGGCTCACCACTCGCCCCAGTCTAACCTTCTCCATGTGCACTCCACACGGGCAGCACAGCTCCCTCCATTCCTCGCAGCATCACGGCTGGCCCTGGACCCACACGAACACTGGTCCAGCGAGACTCAAAGCGCCCGGATAGGTTGTGGCGCAGCAGAAGGCCAGGCTGGGCTGGCCAGGAGTCAAGGCTCACATCTTCCTCCTCCTCTGGGTCGCTGCCCACCCAGCCCAGAAGAGCCAGCAGCTGACAGCCGTTACACACGCCCAAGCTGAAGGTGTCCGGCCGCTTCCGGAAGCGCCTCAATTCACTTCCAGCCCGTGGGTTAAATGTCACGGCTGCGGCCCACCCTAAGAGAAAACGAACAGGGAAGTGGTGAGATGTGGAAGTCCTCACAGTGGTTCTAACTCCTGGCCACAGGTGATTCATTCATTTTTCTGTTTGGCCAGGAAAATATTCATTTAGTTGCCTAACATTTAAAAGTAGCACTTAACTTTAAAAAGTTAGATGTCTATATCTCATACCTAACTACTGGGTTAGATCCCCGATTCAGCTCCAGCATGATGGCTCAATGGCTAAATCCTCCCCCTGCAAGCACCAGGCACTGGTTCATATCCCGGCTGCCCCATTTCCCATCCAGCTCCCTGCTTGTGTCCTGGGAAAGCAGTTGAGGACGGCCCAAAGCCTTGGGACCCTGCACCTGCACTTGGGACCTGAAAGAAGTTCCTGGCTCCCAGTTTCGGATCAGCTCAGCTCTGAGCACTGAAGCCACGTGGAGAGTGAACCAGAGGATGGAAGACCTTTCTCTTTGTCTTTCCTTCTCTCTGCAAATCTGCTTTTCCAATGAAAATAAGTAAAAAAATAGATACCCAACTCTGGCTCACTCTTAGCTTCCTTCTAATGCACAATGAGATGGCTCCAGTGACTGCGTACCCATGTGAGGTGTGGACTGAGTGTCCAGCTTTTGGCTTCAGCCTGGTCAAGGGCTGTCGTGAGTATTTGAGGGATGGAGTGGTAAATGGGACTCCTGTCTATCTTGTCCACCAGCCTCAAATAAAGAAACAAAACTGGGTTTGGGGCAATGGCTCAGTGGCTAAATCCTCACTTTGCAAGCACCAGGATCCAATAAAGGTGCTGCTTCATGTCCTGGCTGCTCTTCACTTGCCCCGCTTCCCATCCAGCTCCCTACTTGTGGCCTGGAAAAGCAGCAGAGGATGGCCCAAGGCACTGGGACCCTGCACTCACATGGAAGACCCACAGGAAACTACTGGCATCGGATCAGCTCAGTTCTGGCTGTTGCAGTCACTTGGGGAGGGAACCAGAAGATGAAGGATCGTTCTATCTTTCCTCTCCATAAATATAATGTGCCTTTCTAATAAGTATAAATATATCTTAAAACAAAACAAAACTAAAAACTAAAACTAAGGTTTTGGGGCTGTTGTTACAGCAAAGAGAGTCAGAACACTGTTGTTCTGCTTCTGATCTAGATTCTTGCTAATGCGCCTTGAAAAATAGCAAAGATGGCCAGAATGCTTGGGAGCCCTGAACCCCTATGGGAGATCTGGACGGAGTTTCTGAATCCTGGCTTCAGCCCAATACAACCCTGGTCATTGTGGCCATTTGTGGAGTCAATGAGCAAATGAAAGAACTCCCCCCTCTGCCTCTCTTCCAGTAACTCTTTCAAATAAATAAATAAATCATTAAAGAAAAGAAAATCTGGATTTGTGGCTTTTTTAGAAAACCAGAAGGAGCAGCCATGTAGAGCCAGGACAGTTGGCCTGAGCAGGATACCAGCAGTCCCTGTAGGCAGGGCAGGTGCCCTCCAGACTGGCACAGTCCCACTCCACCAGCTGCTTTCCTTCAGTTCCCTCCCAGTCTTCTACAAGCAGCCAACCCAGAAACCAGTCACTCTGCCCTAACCTGGGCAGTTCCCAGCTCCCCTGACAGGCAGTCAGGGCCCTCTTCCAAAATGTGTGTGGTGGGGGAGAGCAGAAGCCTGCACTCACCTTTGCCAGAACCCAGGACATCAGCATAGCTGAAGCCACCCACAAAGGCCACACCACGGAATGTGTCCAACCCGATGGCCCCAGAACAGAGGTCCTGCATGGTCACGTCCCACACCTGGTAGGATGAGGAAGTGTCAAGAGGACAGACAGCCTGAGGCCTGGTCACATCCCAGGCCTGCCCAGCTGTCCCACTCACCTCAAACCCGGCCAAGTTGAAGGCATCAGCCATTTCACGGTCTCCATTACTGCCCTCTTCTCGAAGGATGGCAACCCGGGGGGTGGGGCCTCCTGTCGGGTAGAGAGTGTTTGGGCTACCTCAACTCCCTGCACCCAGGCCCGGTGCTCTCAGGAGGCTGAACCCCTGCACATTTGCTTACCAGGTTCATGGGGCACAGAGGCTTTGGGGAAGGTTGGAGGCAGGCAGTAATTAGGCCCTCTCCGTTCCTGCAGGCCCCGCTCTTCCTCTGCCACACAGTGTGGCTCTGCCTGCAGCCGGTCCAGCTGGAAGCTTGTCTCCTCCCACAAGGCTCGCAGCTGCCCCACAGGCTCCTCCAGAACCACAGTCCCGTTCACTGACACCCGGACCTGGGATGGGTGGATGCATCAAGGGCAAGGGCAAAGGGGTTCCTTGCCTTGAGTAGCCAAGTGACCCACGCTCTCCCCACTGGCTGCCCACTGTGCACCACTCTCTCCCTCCGGCTTCCTCACCATGGCATGGGGCCCAGCCTCGCCTGTGTGGCCGAGTTCCAGGCACTGCAGACCAGCTCCCCGGTAACGCTGCAGTACAGCAGCCAGGTGTGGTTCCTGCACCTCCAGCACCAGGCCTGGCTCCTCAGCAAACAGCACAGGCAGCGCTGGGAAAGCAACAGGGAACTCAGTGGGACATGGCCAAATGAGGTGGCTGGCAGGCGTCAGGGGTTGGGTTAAGGGTAGGAATGTGGGATCGAGCAAGGATGTCACATCAGGGACCATGTGGAGTCTCAGGCACAGGTGAGAACACAGTGGCTGCCCCCTGGTTCAGCCACTGGAGAAGACAGACGGGAGAGTGTGTTAGAAAAGACTCCAAAGAGAGAATGGGGGAAACCCACAGGGTGGGGAAGGCAGCCCACACCAAGTCCTGCCCTGGGCTCCTCACCGTCAGCCCCAGGGGCAGGCACATCCACCTCCACCCCACAGTTGCCAGCAAAGGCCATTTCCAGCAGGCAGGTGATGAGGCCTCCATCACTGACGTCATGGCCTGAACAAAGGAGGCGGTCTGGAGGAAGAAAAGATGATCAGAACCTTGGGGCCAGAACCCTGCAGCTCTACCTTGCCTTCCAGAGATGAGACAAGGGTATGAGGACCTGACTCCCAACAAGGAACTGGAAGGACACAACCTCCAAGCCCGGGCCTGGCCCCTTGCACATGTTCTCCCCCAGGGCCTCGCTCACCCTTCAGCAGTCCCTGGGTGATGCAGAAGGCACGCACCAAATTCTCTGGCAGGTCCAGGTCGGGAGGCTGATCCCCGAGCTGGGAGAAGCACTGGGCCAGGGCAGTACCCCCCAGCCGGTGCTGCCCAGGGCTCAGGGGCACATAGAGCAGACAGCCTGGGGAGGAGACACAGACAGTTCAGCTTCTGGCCAACCCATGAAGAGCTCACAGCATTGCCTTCCCCGCATGTGTGAGATGCCCCAGGCCACCAGTGCCAGAGCCCAAGCCAGGGGCCCCCAAACCAAGGACCAAGCTCAGAACACACAAAGCCACACCTGTCCCTCCAGGATGCTTGAGGTCTGGGGTTATGGTGGCTGTGATGTCTGGACAGACAGCATAGGCCGAGATGACCAGCGACCCTGCCGAAGAAGGAGGCAGAGTCCCAGTGAGTACCACACCAACTGCATACCACAGTTGCTCCCTACCTTGCCAGGGTCCCCAGTCTCACCAGGAGCCCGCACGGTCTCAGTGCCAACCCGGGCAGCCATGCTGAGGGAGTCCTTGCCACCGTCCACCGCCACACCCAGGGCCGCCATCACAGCCACCATGGCCTCACAGGCATCAGCCAGAGCTGCACCCTCCCCAGGGAGCTTGGCTGCCCACATCCAGTTCCCACTGCACTTCACATCCTGGGTGGGAGCAGTAGAGACAGAGGCATTAGAAGGGAAGGTGGAGATGGTGCCCCTGGGGGTGCAGAGGGTCCAGGAGGTTGCAAGCATGGAAGGAAGGACAAAGGACAAAGCTGGGGGGCAATGGGGCCTTACCCGGAGGTCCGTGACCAGAGCAAACACCAGGTTCGTGAGGGCTTCAGAAACAGCCAGGCGGGCGGCCACCTTGGGGTCTAGCAGGCTCTTGACTGGCTGCTCTCCGAGGGCTGTGGCAGCCCCTACAAGCTCCTGGTGACTCAGTGCCACCACTGCTACATCCGCTAGGGGAGTCTGTAGGGGCCCCACACACTGCTGCTGGGCCACCAGGCCACCCACGGAGCGGTCCACCTGTAGAAGCAGCAGGGTTTGGTGAGGGGGCAAGGGGCAGGGAGCATAGATCTTCGTCCACTCTGCCCCCTGGGAACAGAGAGCCCCAGGGGTCTGGATTCCCTCAGCATGCAGGCAAGAGCTCTGTGTGGAGCCGAGAAGCAGGACATCAGCTGGCTACCCTACTCCTGTCACTTTCCCAGGGCCTGGAGCATCCCCTGCCGCAGTGGATAAGGTAGTTGGTAGCAGGAGGCTGGGCTGAGTGGAGGGAAGGAAGCAGAGCGTAGAGCCGGGATGCAGCAAGGACCTTGTTGGTGAGGTAGCGCTTGCTGGCCACTGCGGGAAGCCTCAGAACCCGCTCCAGAGCCTGGCGCACAGTCAGTCCTGCAGGCAGGATCAGGGGCTGCAGCATGGGGGGCTCTCTTTGGAGGAAGAACTCCTGCAACACACATGGCAATAGGAGTAAGCCCAGGGTGGTCCACATGCAGGCAGGAGTCATGGCGATCTGGGGGAGGGCCAAGGAAGGAGCGCCGCCCCTCCCACCCTGATCCCGCACACCTTCTGAGGCATCTTGCCCAGCACCCAGTCGAGCTCCAGGTCCACAGGGGTTGGGGGAGGCGTTGGGGGGGCATCCCCTTGGCCATTTTCTCCCACCGGACACTGGCGATCGTCCACCAGCACAATCTACAGACCACAGAAACACCACCCCAAGCAATGAGACCATGAACTCCAGCTCTCCCTACCTCTTGTCTGGCTTACTCTGGGGAGTCCCTCCCTTCCCATCTTCACCCACACCTTGCTCCCCACAGGTGCCCACTCTCCTGTCTCTCCCTTGGCTATTCTCCCTCTGGCCACACCCAGACTGACCAAACCTGCCTACAAATGCCCACTCCCAACTCTCTGGGCCAACTCACCTTCCTGTCTCCAGTGATGGTGCCTACAAAACTAGCCGGGCAGCGCTCCCGGATACTGACACGAGTCAGGAAGTCTCGGTGCAGGGGCCTCAGCAGCAGCGCATTGGATTCCTGGTATTCAGCCCCCCAGATTTCCAGGGCATTCAGTGTGGGGTCCCCCAGCTGCACAGCCACGGCAGGGAGGAAAGAGAAAAAGATTCTCCTGGGTCTCATGTTGTCAGTAGCAGTACAGGGGGAACAAAGGCAGCGGACTAGCTGGGGTGGGCAAGGGCAGGGCAGGGCTGGGACCCACCTGGAAGCGGCTGGTGTAGATGATGGCTCCTGCTGGCTCGCTCAGCTCCTTCAGGACATTGCCTGATGAGAGGAGGGCAAGGGGTGGGGTGGTGATTTGGTCACAGGCAACTCCAGGCAAACAGCACACCCCAGCCTCCGGGCAGTCCCCAGTAACGTGTGTCCTTACATGAGTTGTTGCTGCGTCCTCCCCACCAACTGCCCCTGTTCTACTACCCTCGTTCTGAACCTGTCTGGAACAGAGCTCAGAGCTGAACAGCAGGTCGTAGATCCTAAAGGCCTGTCCCCAACTCAAACCTGGCAGAGAGCAGGGAGGCCTGGTCCCTGCTGCCGACCCTGCCCTCACCATTGCCCCCAGCGCCCTGGTCGTGGAGGCTGCAGATGGGGTTTCTCTTGGAGGCCTCCACGCAAGCCCGGATCACACGGTTCATCTTCTGTTCCATCTCAGGGTCTCCTCGCTGCACCGCTCCGAAGTCTAGCTCGCTGGCGTTATCTCCCTGAACCTGGGGGATACCCGGCTTGGCTCAGCTCAGCTCAGCTGGAACCGCACACCCCATCCACACTGGTATACTCACCTGCACAGAGGAAGCTGCTCCGCCCCCAACGCCAATCCTGTAGACAGGACCACCCACCTTTACAACCTCCATGCCTGGGAGGAAGCAGGGAAGTCACAATCAGAACACAGGGAAGCCACTAGAAGAGTCCTCTGAAATAAGGTGGGGTTTGGGTAGGCACATGGTCCAGTAGTTCAGACACCTGCATCCTATACTGAAATGCCTGGGGCTGAGCCCCAGCCCTGTTCATGACTTCAGCTTCCTGCACCCTGGGAATGAAATAGTTGGGTCCCAGCTGCCTACTTGGGAGACTGGAACTGGGTTCCTAGCTTCCAGTTTAGCAGCTGCGGGCATTTAGAGAATAAATTAGCAGATGGGAAACTTTTCTTTTACTGTATGTCATTCAAACTTTTAAAACATAAAGGGAAGGTATATCAGGTAAAGTTGCCATGTATGGTGCCAGTATTCCATAAGGGTGCTGGTTCGAGTCCCACCTAGCTCTCTGCTAATGTGCCTGGGAAAGCAGCAGAGGGTGGCTCAAACCTTTGGACCCCATGCCTATGTTGAAGACCTAGAGCAAGCAGCTGTTTGTGGCCATTTGGGAATGAACAAGTAAATGGGAATTTTCTTCCTTTGTCTCTCCTCCCTCCCTGCAATTTTTTCAAAGTAGACAATATTTTTAAAACACCCCTCCTCCCCACACACACACACACACACACACAGAGGGAGATCTATGTTACAGTATAGCAGGTTAAGCTTTCACTTGTAACACTGGCACTCATATGCCAGTTCAAGTATCAGCTGTCCTGCTTGTGATCCAAATGGCCCAAGTACTTAGGCCCCTGATACTCAGATGGAAGACCAGGACAGAGTTCCTGGTTCCTGGCTTTGGTCTGGATTGAACCTGGATGTTGTAGCCATTTGAGGAGTGAACCAGTAGACAGAATATTCTCTGTCTTCCCCCTAGTGCTCTGCCTTTCAAATGAAATAAATTTTTAAACATCTTAAAAAGGAATAAAGTACTGATACAATGTGAATGAATCTTGAAAACATAATGCTAAGTGAAAGAAACCAAATGTAAAAGGCAATACATTGATGTTTCATTTGGAGGAGATGCACAGAACAGGCAAACCCATGGAAACAGGAAGTAAATGAGTGGATGCCAGAGGACTGCTAACATGCACTTTGCCGTGTATTGTTAAAACGAGTAAGTATAGACAGGGAGGGAACCCGGGAGGCTGCAGGCCAGGGGAAGGACAGTTATCTGCTCTCCAACCTTTCTTCTGAATTTCAAGCCATGCGACTGGGTCACCTCCTCCATAAATGAGACCTCAATTTTATCTCGATTCCATCACAGCACTGAACAGTGCCCAGAAGAGGGTGGGTGCTCAGTCAACTTTGGCTTCACTGACTAGAGGTAACTCAGGGCCCTGGCACACGGCAGGCACTGAATAAACACTGGCTGGCTGCCTTGACTTAGCAGGGTGTGACCCAGAACACAGGGGTATGGGCACACATACAGAGGGCCCATGCACTGCCCAGGAGAGGAAGGAGCCAGATTGAAAATTAACTACTTAATGTCTTCTAGCTTCCCCCCTCTGCAACCACTTCATGCTGGGAGGAAAGCTGGCTAGATCCAGACAGCGAGTGAATTCTTACCAGGTTCTGGAGGCTCCTTGCTCACGTGCTCAGCCTCCATGGACCCAATGCCCCCACTAAACATGATGGGCTTGATCCACTCACGCCGCTGGCCACCTGGGAGCTGGAGCCCAAAAGAGCGGGCAAAGCCTGTGGTACCGACATCAGAAGAGAGACAGTTACCAATGCCCCAAACACCATATCCTGGCCCTGTGGTCACACACCCCACCCAAGCTCCCGTGGGTCACCCCTCCACAGCCCCAGCCTCACCAGCCAGCACTGGTTCCCCAAACTTGTTGCCATAGTCGGAAGCTCCGTTACTGGCCTCAATAGCAACCTCCAGGGGCCGGGCAAAGTTCCCAGGATACTGGAAGCTGGGTTCCTCCCAGGGCAAACTGTAACCTGGGGGAGTTGAGGGGAGGAAAAAGTGGGACAGACAGTACAGATAAAAGGTAGATATGGTGGAGCCATTGTCCTCAGAGAAGGGCTAAAGCCACCAAGGACTAGTGCATGGCTGGGATTTTAGGATAAGGTGGAGATGCTGGGAAGCTGGGTACGCTCTCCACCTCACACACCACTCTGCCTTCGGACTCAGATCAGAATTTTGTGGTTTCCTAAGGAACTGGATTTAGGGGCTGGTGAGACTTGCAAGCCCAACCTAGTCTCAGGATTTTTGGTTTCTAAAGACTGGTTCTACACAGCCCACCTGGCAAAGCCCACACTCCCTATGATCACAGCCAGCAACTCTACAGTCTTCCCTCCCTCCTTCCCAAGAAAAAGCTCGCAGGAGACCCTTTGATCTGAGAGAGAATAAAGCTAGCAGTGCCCAGAGACAGGAGCGTGGAAGAGAAGGTGGGTATAAGGAGATGAGACCTGGGATGTGCAAGTTTCCGAAGCAATAACCAGCAGTGCCAGCTACCACGTGAGCCCCACGGCCTGTGCACTGGACATCTCGGATCCGGCCCCCCGTGCCTGTGGTGGCACCACTGAAGGGGGCCACCCCTGCAAAGAGAGACCAGGAGAGGTCTGGGCTATCTGGAGACAAGCCCCATCTCCCATCCCTGATGACCCCCAGGGAGGAGGTCCTCTGTGTATCCCAGGTTCGGCCCAGAGGCCTGGGACCTTTGCCCTCCTCTCCTCCTCATCTCTCTCACCTGTGGGGAAGTTGTGAGTCTCTGCTGTGAATACGACATGCCTCAGTCCCTGCTGCTGCTGGAAGCGGCTTGGCTGTGTGGGGTCCTCGGGCCGCAAGAAACGGACCTCCTTCCCCTGGATGGCGCTGGGGACACACTCATTCTGACCCTGGTGCCTTCCCTGCCCCACCCAGGTCAAAGGCCTCCCCAGCCCAGGGCTCAGCTTACCTGCTGTTGTCACAGAACTTAAGGATATTGTTGGGATTGGAGGATGCCTGGGTGCTCATGATGGACTCAAACAGCGAGTGTGCCAGCGGCTGCCCATCCACATGGAGCCGACCCTTGAAGAACCAGTGTCGGCTGTGCTCACTGAGGGGGTGATATGGGATGAGGAAGGCAGGACAGACGTGGGGCGATCATTGCTTGGTATCATGTCTTCTCAACAGCATTTGATGAAACTCATGGTTAACTCATACTCAGGTAACAGGTTAAGCGGTATTCCAAACAGTCACCACCTTGGGACATTCTGTCATTGTGGAATAGCCAGAGCAAAAGTTTTGAAGGTAAAACTATGATCTGAACCAAAGAGGCCCGATGGCAGGGCAGGGGATGTGGTGGTGATGGCAGGGGAAGCCCTGAACATAAAACAGATTTGGGAGTTTCATTAAAGTTGATAGCTTTGGGTTTCCCTGTGAACCTCCATAGACCTAGATGTCAGAATGAACTTGTTCCTCCCCACCTGTTGGACTGAGCCAAGTCAAAGGCCTCCACAGTACTTGGGTTTCGCTGCAGTTCCTGAAAGCGTTTGGTATAAAAATCCAAGTCCCAGGAGTCTAGGGCCAGGCCTAGGAGACAAACCGTGAAAGGCTGACAGTGAGGCCGCACAGGCCAAGCCCCAGGACCCAGACTGGCCTGGTCCCAGGAGCCACTCCCTCCTCCAGGGATCCCTGCTCACCTAGCTCCCGGTTGGCTTTCTCCAGGGCAGGTCGGCCCTCAGTCAGGATGTCAATGGGGCCCTGAAGAGGTGCCGGGATGCTGTCGGGGGAGAAGCTCTCTATGGGGTGTGGGAAACGCTGCTCGGTCATCCGGTCATGGAGGATGGCCACGGCAATGGCCTCCACCTCAGCCGAAGGAGGGTGGTTAAACTGGGGGAAGAGATGCACATGGAGGCAGAAGGGTGGAAAGCTGAGCATGGAATGAAAATGCTTAATACTTGGCCCTCTAGATCATGCAAAGACAGCCCACTGCCACCCACAGGGCATGTCCCTTCCAGGACACACACACACTCATGCCCAAGAGTAAGGGAAGCATAGGCTGGACCTTCTGTTTCATTCACTGCTCAGTCAACTGCCTTCACGCATTCAACAATCTGCACAGTCACACAGGCAGGCCAAAAGCCAAGAGCTCCTCCCTCCCCTACTGCTTCTCCCGTCATGTCCCTGGAGTCTAGGATCCAATCACCCACTCTGGCTCATCATTTCCTCCTTGCCTGCCCGCTGCCTCACCGAAAGCCGGTAGCGCCGGGTAGCCTCCACACGATCCACAGCCCCCAGCCCGGCAGCCTGGCACACAGACACGATGTTGGTGGACGTGGGGGTGGAGAAGTTCAGCCTGAAGAGTGGGCCAGATAATTAGGGCCTGACCAGGAACAACAATTTTGCTCACCATTATCCAGCCAGCATCCCAACACACCCTCCTCGCCCCTGGCCTCCAGCTTCAGAATAGGCACAAGAAACTTGCTCTCAAACGTCACTCCAATTAAATGATAAAACCAGAACTTATTTGATTTCATTTATTTCTGATTCTATCATTGATTCTATTTTTCTTATTGTTGTTTTTCATTTATTTGAAGGGCAAACAGACTGACCCAGAGAAAGATCTTCTTTTGGTTCATTCCCTAAATGAGACTGGGAGAGGTGGTAGGGGCCCAACTACTTGGTGCCTCCCAGGGAATGAATTTCCAGGAAGCTGGAAGGAGAGGAAAAGCTTGACCCCAGGAACCGAGAGAGGGCTGTAGAGCCTCTGGTCGAGATAAACCAGGAGCCAGACGAGCAGGGATCCCTGGAGGAAGGAGCGGCTCCCCCAGTGTCTGACTGCAGTACCTGCTTCAACTGGAACTTCTCAGCATACAGATCATTTCACTTTCAGAACACAGTGGGCAGCTACCCAAATGAGGACAGCGTATGGAAAAACATTTGTCCTGGGACCCCAAAAGGAAGGGAATCAGAAGGGGTGGGCAGCGTGGAAAGAACTGTGCAGAAGGAACTCCAAGACAGGACACTGACCTGGGCCCGACCTCCAGCAGCAGGTCGCTGGGACCGGCATGAAGCCAGGACTCCTGAGCAACATCGCCAAGCAGCAAGGGGCAGCCGAACAGCCACATCAGCTTCCTCATCTCCTCGGCGCTGGGGAGGACCTTGGCTGTAGGGAGATGGGGGCTGTAGGGAGACGTTGTGCTGGGCCCCAGGACATCTCTTCCCAGAACCCACTCCTTGGGGCCCACCTGTCCAGTTCACATTGTAGCACAGCTCGCTTTCCACAGCCTGGAGCTCGGGCAGCTTCCCTTGCAGCTTTCTTCGCGTGTGGCCAGACGCTGCCCCCTCATGGCCAGAGGGCTGGACGTAGAAGTGAAGGACCTGGACCATCTCAAGACAGGTGGCCCTGCAAGAGAAAAAAATTCAGTTCTCACAAAATAACCATAGCTGACCTGCAGAACTGATTTCAAGTTGCAGGGACAGCTGAGGCCTGAAAGATGAGGCAGGGAAAACAACAACAGGGGTATTTTAGCAAATTTAACTGAGGATTTTAACTAACACTGACAAATGGAGGCTTTATAAAAATGTGATGCAGAGTGGACAAGGTGTTGTGGCACAGCACATTTAACCCCCGCCCACAATGCTAGCAACCCATTTCAGCAAGTCTCAGCTGATCTAGCTCCTTGCTAATGTGCCTGGGAAAGCAGCCAACAACCCAAGTCCTTGGGTCCCGGCCACTCATGTGGAAGATGTGCATGGAGCTCCAGGTTTCAGCCTGACCCAACCCAGACCATTGTAGCCGTGTGGGGAGTAAAACCATACATGGAAACAGAAATAACGTGTATTAAATTCTACGCTGTTCTCTGTTTATATATATACATATATATAAGATTTATGTATTTTTTTAAATTGGAAAGTCAGGCATAAGAGAGGAGAGATATAGAGGTAGATATTCTGTTTGCTGGTTCACTCCCCAAATGGCTGCAACAGCCAAAGCTGAGCCAATTCAAAGCCAAGAGCCAGGAGATTCTTCCAGGTCTCCCACACGGGTGCAGGGACCCAAGGCTTTGGGCCGTCGCCGAATGCTTTCCCAAGTCGCAAGCAGGGAGCTAGATGGGAAGCGGGGTTGCCGGGACTAGAAGCGGCACCTATATGGGATCCTGGTGCGTGCAAGGTGAGGATTTTACCCACTAGGCTATCACGCCGGGCTCGTTATCTGTTTTTTTTTACAACAACCAGGCAGGATGCATTTTCTGCTTCTCAATGGGCTCAGAAATGCTGATACTCTACTTGGCCAGTGGCCCTTGACTGTGGAAACCATAAAAGCTGATTAATAAACTCTTCGTGGGATTGCTGCTGCTGTCTTGGAGCTGGCGGCTGAATAAAGGATGTTCTTCCAGCTCGCGGCCCTGCGCAGCCCAGCTCACATCCAATACCCAGCCAGGGTCTTGGCAACAACGCGACAGAGGCCATTTCTGCCTGTGTAGGGATTGCAGTGCACTGAGGGATTCCGGCAAGTTCCCAGACATGTTGTCCCACGAGGCTGTGAGCACCAACACCAGGACTTTCTGGCCATGGTTTGAATATGATCTGGCTCCTGAATTCATGCAGCAGGTTCACCTCCAAAGCAACAAATCAATGACACAGCTGGGAGCTAGGATAAGGTCCCCCCCCCCGCGACCAGGGGCAAAGTGGTTGGATCCGAAAGCTTCCCTCCTCAGAGTGGACGTCCAGCTTAGCTGTTAGGATGCCTGTACACAGCCCCTATCAGAGGGGTGGGTTTGAGCCCAAGTGCTGGCTTTATGATTCTAGCTTCTTAGCATCGCAGACCCTGGAAGGCAGCAGAGCTGGCTTAAGTATTTGGGCTCCTGCCACTCCCTGTGGAAGACTGGGGATTCTGAGCTTCCAGCCCCCGAGCCGCTAGAGGCATTTTGAGAAAGCGAAATAACGAACAGGAACGTTTTCTGTCATTTAAAAAAAAAGAAAAAAAGACATTCAAGCCCAAAAGGCCCGAAGTCAAGCCCGGGCTCTCCTTCCCGGCTCAAACCCCTCTTCCGCCTCGCGCCCCACACTTGCTGTCCTCGCTAGTGGCCAAAGCAAAGGCGCTGCCGACCTTGGACTGCAACACCCAAAGCCGTGAGCTGATCCCTTTCGTTCCTAAGACGTCCGTGCCCGTTCGCCCATTAAAGCCCCGCGCAGCAGCTTCACTCACGTGGAAGCCGATTCGGCTGCACCGAGTACCTCGAATCTTGGCGCGCTGCTTACGTCACCCGCGTGCGCCGGGGATCCAGTTAGAGCCGGCGGCGTCGGCCCGAGCGACCACGCCCCGTAGGCGGGGCGTGAGCGGGAGGGCGGGGCGTGAGCGGGAGGGCGTGGCCTCCTTCCTGGTCTTTCCTGAGGAGGATCATGGTCACCCAAGTTTGCATGTGTTAAAACGCTGTCCCTTCACTTCTATGCCCCCAGCAAAATATGCTTTGTTGGCCTCTAACTGTCCCCTTGCCTTTACTAGAACTTTCTTTTTTTATGTTTTTCTTTATTTAAAAAAATTTCTAGAACATTCTTTCCTTTATTTCTAGAACATTTTTCCCCACATGAAGAAATTTAATTCCCACAAGAGCATGAGGTACATATTTTTCCTTTCCATACTCCTGCCAGTTACCATGACAATAATATTTATTCAGCATCCATGGAATGAGGCATGTGTCATGATATATGATTTCTACCCTCTATTACGGACTCAGAAACCACAGTTTGTTGCAATTTACTTTTGCAATCATTTTTTTTAAAGATTTATTTTTATTATTATTATTTTTTTTTTGAAAGGTGGATATACAGAGAGGAGAGAGAGAGAGGAAGATTTTCCGTCCGATGATTCACTCCCTAAGTGAGCACAACAGCCGATGCTATGCCGATCCGAAGCCAGGAGCCTCTTCCGGGTCTCCCACGCGGGTGCAGGGTTCCAAAACTTTGGGCTATCCTCGACTGCTTTCCCAGGGCCACAGGCAGGGAGCTGGAAGGGAAGCGGGGTTGCCGGGATTAGAACCAGTGCCCATATGGGATCCCGGGGCGTGCAAGGAAAGGACCTTAACCACTTGTGCCACCGCGCTGGGCCCATTTTTTTTTTTTTTAAAGATTTATTTTTATTATTTTTTTATTGGAAAGGCGGATATACAGAGAGGAGAGACAGAGAGGAAGATCTTCCATCCGATGATTCACTCCCCAAGTGAGCACAACGGGCCGATACTATGCCAATCCAAAGCCAGGAGCCTCTTCCGGGTCTCCCACGCGGGTGCAGGTTCCCAAAGCTTTGGGCTGTCCTCGACTGCTTTCCTGGGCCACAGGCAGGGAGCTGGAAGGGAAGCGGGGCTGCCGGGATTAGAACCGGCGCTCATATGGGATCCCGGGGGTGCAAGGTGAGGACCTTTAACCACTTGCGCCACCGCGCCGGGCCCAGCTGGGCCCATTTTTTAAAAAAGATTTGTTTATTTATTATTGGAAACTCAGATTTACAGAGAGAAGGAGATACAGAGAGAAAGATCTTCCATCCAATGGTTCATGCCCCAAGTGGCTGCAATACCCAGAGCCAATCTGAAACCAGGAGCCAGAAGCCTCTTCCAGGTCCTCCACGTGGGTGCAGGGTCCCAAGGCTTTGGGCCCCATCTTCTGCTGCTTTCCCAGGCCTTTCCCAGGGCACTGGATAGGAAGTGGGGCTGCCAGGATTAGAACTGGCGCTCACATGGGATCCTGGTGCATGCAAGGCCAGGATTTTAGCTATTAGGCTATCATGCTCAGACCAGCTTTTTTTTTTTTTTCTTAAGACTTATTTATTTACTTAAAAGGCTGAGTAACAGAAAAAATGTTCTCCATCCTTTGGTTCATGCCTCACACAGCAGCAAGGTTTGGCTTAAGCCAGCATGATGGAGCTCCATCTGGGCCTCCTATGTTGGTGGCAGGCACCCAATTACCTGGACTATCTTCTGCTGCTTTCTTTCCCAAGCACATATGATGGGAGCTGGATGTGTATGGAGGAGTTGGGACTCAAGTGGAATGCTAGAGTTGCAGGTTGCGGCTTAACTAGCAGGCATGTGACATGGCCCCTTACTCCTCTGATTTGTAATAAAACATTTAGTACTTTTATTTTTTTAAAAAAAGATGTATTTATTTTTATTGCAAACTCAGAGAAAGAGAGTAAGATCTTCCATCCAATGATTCACTCCCCAAGTGAGCACAATGGCTGGTGCTGAGCCAATCCAAAGCCAGGAGCTTCTTCTGGGTCTTCCACATGGTTGCAGGTCCTAAGGCTTTGGGCCATCCTCAACTGCTTTCCCAGGCCACAAGCAGGGAGCTGAATGGGAAGTGGAGCTGCTGGGATTAGAACTGGTGTCAATATGGGAACCCAGAGTGTGAAAGGCGAGTTTTAGCTGCCAGGCAACCATTTAGTACTTTTCTATGAATGTATGTATTTTCGGACAGTTTTTAAAAAGACTTACTTTTTTTTTCAAATTGGAAAGTCAGATATACAGAACGCAGGGGAAACAGAGAGGAAGATAGTCTGTCCAATGATGAGGACTTTAGCCGCTAGGCCACCCTGCTGGGCCCCATTTTTGGACATTAAAAAACCTGAGAACAGGCCTTGTGGGATAGCCTAGGGGCTAAAGTTCTCACCGTGTCTACTCCTGGATCCCACATAGGCACCAGTTCCTGTCCTGGCAGCCCTGCTTCCCATCCAGCTCCCTGCTTGTGGCCTGGGAAAGCAGTCGAGGACGGCCCAAAGCCCTGGGTCCCTGCACTCGTGTGGGAAATCCAGAAGAATCTCCTGGCTCCTGGCTTTGGATCGGCTCAGCTCTGGTTGTTGCAGCCCCTTGGGGGGTGAACCAACAGAACAAATTAAGCCACATTCCCAGGGAGGATGGTGACTGAGGAGTTCCAGCCTGGGTTCTTACTTCCTTTCTGCTTTCTCCTCCCGGGGCTAATTATTATCATTTTTTGTTTGCTAAAATGAACCTGAAGGATTTAATTATTTGAAAGTTATAGTATGAGAAGAACAGAGATCTTGCACCTGCTAATTTACTCCCTAGATTGCTACAATGACCAGGGCTGCACCAGACTGAAGCCAGGAGCCAGGCGCTTCTTCCAGGCCTGCTACTACACAAGTGCTGTCCCCAGTTTCCATTCATCATTACTCAGGAGTCTGTGTTTCCTTCGGGGCTCTACCCTCAGAACCTTCGAATGTCCCTGCCCACCTGTGTGAGAAAATTCCATCTACTGCCTATTAAGCTGTGAGTATTGAATTAGGAATAATAGACACCTGAAGCAGGTATGAATAAACTAGTCATTTAGCCATTCGCCCCTTTTTTAGGTGTAGAATATACCAGTAAATAGAACTGAGCTGTACTCCTAGGAGCTCACAATTCAGTGAAAAAAAAAAAAAACAGGCAAAACGCACTTACGTCAATCAGTTATTGTAAGTTTGAATGAGCGTGCTGGCTGCGTCCGCTGAGCAGGATCAGGATGCTTTATTTTTATTTTGGGGGGGAGATCAGGATGCGAACCTGCGGAGCTGGGCTCCCGAGGGGGCGGCCACGCCCCTCACGTCGTGCCCCAACGTCACCGGGCCCTCCCGTGAGCCCTCGCGCGCAGCCTCGGCCGGCGCTGTCCGCTGCGTCATGGCTTCGCGCGGGGCTCTGCCCGCCAGCTCCGTGAGTGCCGCTCTCTCTCCGTTGTCCATTTTTTTTTTTCCCTCCCACCGTGTCTGGATATTCTTTGTTTTTATGTTGTTTCCTTATCTCTCCTGGCCTTCTCACTTGAGCGGCCGCGTCGGGCCCGGCCTGAGGAGAGTCGTGAGGCGGGTGGCGCGCTCGTCTTTTTCGGTTTGTGTTATTTTGCTCGGCGCGGTGCTCGCCAGGAGCGGTCAACACGTCTGCGTCCACGCCCCGGGCTCCAGGGCGGGGAAGACGGCTGGAACAAGTGGATGTGGGAACGGTGGGGCCGAGGATGAGCAGGGGGGCAGCGCTGGCCAGGGAGGACAGGTGGCCTTGGCAGCTCCAACCTGCGGGCCAGTGGAGGCGTTGGGTGGGTGTAAGCAGAAACGCGGTGGAAATGTAGGAACCACGGAAGGATATCGGTTTGCCTTTTTAACAACACGTAGGAGGTTTCACGTGGAGGCAGCGATATTAAAAGGTGGGCTCAGTGCTTAGACCAACGGGAGTAGGAGCTAAAAGACAGAAAATAGGAAGATGTAGGATGCGGTTATGTCCGTGGGGCAGCTGAGGACGAAGGTTACCGGTAGGGCCTTCTCGAAGGCTGCTGAGGTTTTCTAGGACATACAAGCTGCCGAAGATTCCCTGGCTGTGGGAGAGGACCCGTGGGGCCTTGCAGGTGCAGGGATGCATGCCTGATTGTGTCAAGCAGCCCGGAGGACCGAGGAGCACGAAGGCCCTACCCCTCAGCGCTGTTGGACGATGTCATCAGTGTTTTAAATCAAACTGCTTGTCTCTGGGACGGAGCCAAGCTACTCCTTTTCCCTAAAGTGACATACCATGAGGGCCCTGGAGGGTACTGGGCTCAGAGAAGATACCAAAACCCTGTGCCGCTTGTTTCACAACACGCCTGTGATTAAAAACTCTATGATCTGGCTCTGGTTAAAAAAAAAAAAAAATGAGGGAAAAGAAATATTAGTGAGAAAAAAAAAAAGGTGAAAGAAGGTACAACCCAATGAAGGAATTTTATGCACCCCAGCTCTTACAGTACTTCCAAAACAATCTAATTGCTCTGCCAATCGGGTGCACTCTGAGATGAGAAAACAACTCTCATGTTTAGAATAATGATTTTGACATCTACATTCTCAGATGAGAAAACATTTTTTTCATTTCCAGAATAGAATACTGATTCTAAAAAGGCGGGAGTGGCCACTGTATGTCCAGGTCTGCAGTATTAAAGATATAAAGTTGATTGATTGGTCTGTGTCATTTGCTCGGGAGTTCACATCTTAGCTGAAAAAAATAGAACAGGAAAGAAATCCAGTGGAATGGTCTCCTGTTATTATGTATCTCCTGTGAGAACTCAAATTCCATACCCTTGGAGCTGGCATTGCAGGTTAAGCTGCTCCTGCAACACTGACATCATATGGGTGATGGTTTGTGTCCTGGCTACTCCACTTTTGATCCAACTACCTGTTAATACACCTGGGAAAGCAGGAGAAGATGACCCAGGTACTTGAATTCCTGCACCCACATGAGATCTGGAT